CGCTTAAAACAACAACCACACACACACACACACACACACACACACACACACACACACAATAACACACAAGTACATACCCTAAAACACTCCACACACACACACACACACATACACAAAACACTCCAAACACACACGCACACATCACACACACGCACACGTACAAACAAACTCAGCCATATAATCTAGAAGAGGATAAAACCTGAAGAAGTCAGAAAAACAAACAGAACGCAAAATCATGAAATGTTTGCTAAATACGATCATTAAAAGACTCCAATGTTTACACACACATACAAACATACATACATAAATACATACATACATACGATCATACACACATACATACATACATACATATGAACACGTACATATGCACATACATACACACATACATGCGTTCACTTATCTATATGTCTAGCGAGATGCCTGTAATCTAATTTGATATACATTGATAGACAAATCATATACACTTAAATATATACACATACACACATACATATATACATACACACATACATACAAACATACACATACATATCTACATACACACAAAATTACACACACATATAACGACAAGCTCACATTAACAAAATCGCACGTGTGTTTACACAAGAGCAGCTGAACTGAAAATAGAGTTAGGATGCGCATAATATATACATACATATAAACATACATACATACATACATACATACATACATACATACATACATACATACATACACACATACATACATATTTACATGCATGCATACATTCATGAGTGATATATTTGGGCCTCTATGAGTTATAGGAGCTTGCGCAACCAATGCAGTAGTGATGGATGAGTAACTCGGATGATGATGATGAAGATGATGATGAAGATGTTGATGGAGATGATGATGAAGATGATGGTAGTGGTGATGATGGCGATAATATTTTAAACAATTTTAATGAATTTGTGTGTATGTATGTGTGTTGACTATGGTTATGAATATGATTATCTTCATGGTGATGATAATTTCAGTGATTATTATCATCATCATCATCATCTTTATTACGTCATTAATTATTAATCATCTTATCGTCATGACGTCATTACTCTAACAACATCATCATCATCATATTTTATCACTAGCCGTAGGGTGCTTGTAAAGTATTTTATGATAGCTAAGCCATCTTGAGACCACGTGATTTAAGCCGGGACGGCTGGAAGGAGGAATAATTTTCTGTCATCCATTTATTGCTCGTTCATTCAATCGCTCATTCATAAATTTACATATTCATTCATTCATTAATGTATCTATTCACACTATCTAACTAATTATTCTCTTGACGACGCAAACATTCACTCTTACGTTCGAACATTCATTAACTTGTTCTAACATACGTTCATTCATTCATTACCATGTTCTAACATTTATTCATTCGATCAATCAATCATTCATTCATTCATTTGATCGTTCATTCGTTCAACTACTTACATGAAAATGAAAATTATTTACACATGTAACTATAAAATGCAAACAAACCGACATACAGGCATACACACATACAAACAGACAAACAAATATACATACAAACAACAAAAATACACTCATACAGACAAGCGAACAAACATGCAAACATAAATACATACAGACAAACAAACAAATACACGAAGAGAGAACAAACGAAACATGATACATCTACAGATATGAAACACCTTTTCTTACTAGGTAGGTAACTTTATTAAGTTAGACTTAGTGCATGTTTGTATGTGTGTATGTATGTATGTATGTGTGTACTTCTGTGTGAATGTACGTCTGTGTGAGAACATGTGTGTGATATTACCCATTATATACTGCAGCAACACTTGCCTATCGATTTAATTGCTCACTGTTGCATTGGGAGAGTTTAAGTAAGAGACGATCGATACAAGCTCGTGTTATTATAATTAGGTATATACTGGGTATATGTATGCCTTTACTTGCACACACATACACACACACACATAAATATATATATATATATATATATATATATATATATATATATATATGCACGCGTGTGCATGTGTGTGTACATGTGTATTGCTGCTTATATATATATATATATATATATATATATATATATATATATATATATATATATGTTTGTGTGTGCTTGTGTGTGTGGATGTGTGAATTATATGTATGTGTGTGTATATGGATGCTTGTGTGTGTGAATTATATGTATGTGTGTGTATATGGATGTAAATATTTATTAGCGGAAAGAAAAACATGAAAAAGAATAAAGTAACAAAGAGGAAAGTATACAACGATTCGAGGAACAAGAAAGAAGAGAGAGAGAGTGAGAAAATAAGAGAGAGATAGAGATAGAGAGAAAAAGATAGATAAAGAGAGAGTGAGAACGGAATGTAATTTATGGAGAGAGAGAAAAAAAAAACAAAAGTAACAGAAAGAGAGATAATATTATTAAGCGAGGGTATGATGATAAGAAAGCAAACGCCGTGTATTAGTAATCCATGTTAGTGTCTCTACTGAATGTGTTTTCATACTCTACGTTGGTTTTGTCTGTATGCATGGATGTATGTATGTATGTCGGTCTGCCTGTTTGTATGTATGTCTGTTTGTATGTTTTTCTCTATGTCTGTCTGTATATGAGTGTTGCATTTTAAGATACACATCTGAAATCCACCCTACCTTACACGCATATGCACAGAACAATCAAAGAACTTATCAGATGAACATATAAGTTGCACTAGGCAGCCTGAGAATTTTTCTAGAAGCCTTTCTTACATCCTCACTTAGAAATATCAAAGTTGACGCTAACAAAAAGAGTTACATTAAAAGCAACCACGCATTCAACTGCATGCATTAATGTTAGAATGGAAAAGTCTGTTGGTTAATGGGTTAATCACTATCAGAAACAAACATTAAAAAACCAAGACATCAACATTCAACGACAACCAAGACATTAATACTCAGTAACACAAAACAATTCAATCTCGGCAACAACATCAACGTCTTCTAACAACAACATTACCTCCTAGCAACAATAGCGAACAACAAAAAACATCTACAACATCTACATCAAAAACTTGACAGGGGAAACAGTAACACTAACAATATCATTCAACATCAAAAGAGCCAACATTACAACAGTGCAAAAACAACACCCACAATGGCAGCCAACAAAACCAACAACAAACACCCAAGAACGACAAAACTGACTTCGGCGATCTTTCTCCTCTCAATTTGAGACCAGACGATGAAAGCATTCATGGGCCTTTTGATGCGGTTCGTGGACTTTTTGCAATTGGTGGCCTCTGAGTAGGGTCGAGTAGAAGAAGGGTCGACCGTTTGGGAGGGTAAAATAGGTAAGGGTGCGGAATCTTCTTCTTCTTCTGGGAAATCTAAACTGCTTTTGTTGTTGTTGGTTGTGGTGATGTTATTGTTGATGCCGTCATCGTTGTTGTTGTTGTTGAAGTAGTTGTTGTGGATGTTTGCTGAAGTGATCGGATTGCCGAAATGGATGTTGTTCAAGTTGATGTCGCAAATGTTATTGTTATTAATATCAGTGTTGCTGTTGTTGCTGCTGTTGTTGTTGCGGTCTTTAATAACCATGTTGTTGTTGATGTTGTTGTTGTTGGCGGTTGTTGTACTGGTGAAAGAGTTAATGTCAGGCACGCGTGCTGTGTTGTTGTTTTTATCGACGAGGCTGTTGCTGGCGTCAAAAAACTCCAAGTAGTTTGACAAGTTGTCAAAATCAAACGACCCGTATCCATCACCAAAGCCGAGATTGCAGTTGATGCTAGGATCGCCGCTGCTGATGTTGTTGTTGATGTCGCCAACATCCATTATGTTGATGTTTTTGTTGCTGCTGTTGTTGCTGATGTTGTTGTTGATGTTGTTATTGATGTGAGCTAGAACGTTATTAGTGTTGTTGATATTGTTGTTAAGAGCGGTCAGTTTTATAGGTGACATATTTTTTTTGTTGGAACTTTGGATGTTGCCGTTGATGTGGCTGTTGTTTGTGATCATTTTTAATACAATCTGAAATTTTTTGAGTAATATAAATAAGCAATTTATTATTATAACCGTTATTATTAGTAGTAGTAGCAGCAGCAGTAGTATTTTTGATATTATTATTGTAATGATAATCACGCATCTTTTTAAAATTCTAAATGAATCTTACATCAAAAGAAGATATAAACAAAGATTTCTAAATAACCCCATGTGAGTGTGTTGTGTATGGTACGTACGTATGTGTGTGTAAGTATGTATGTATGTATGTGTGTATGTATGTATGTATGCATGAATGTATTAATACTAGAGCAAAACATTAGATACCAACACAAGTATATACAAACATACATGCTCGCATATATACATACATATACATCAACATACATACTTACGTACGTAAATACATACATGCATACATACAAACATACATACATACATACATACATACATACATACACACACATTCGTCCAGCACACGCAGACCTTAACACAAGATTATTATTAATACATATAAACTTAACGAAACGTCAATAAATGATTTGAAACCATCTGCCTCCCCTATGTACGTATGTATGTATGTATGTTTGTGTGTGTACGTACGTATGAATGTATGTATGTGTGTGTACGTATATGCAATTATGCATGTTCTCTCTCTTTCTCTCTTTTCTCATTCTCTCTTTTTTTACTCCCTTTTCCTCTAGGTTATAGTTATAACAACAGGTACTTGTAACCACACGCAGACACGCACACACACAGACACGCACACAAACAAGCATGTATAAAAACTTATAAATACAAGCAAATAGGTGTGTGTATGTGTGTGTGTTTGTTTGTGTATGTGCTTGTTTGTGTATGTGCTTGTTTATTGTACAATCCCGGCAATACGTAACACATGTGCGTTTCATTGCGTAACCTAAAGCCATTAAATCACATCTACCTACTAGTCTGTGTTTTGTATTTGATTAGTATTGTATTTGTATGATTAGTGTCTATGTGTTTCTAAGTATTTTGTATAATTGTATGTATTATCTATTTGTATATTTGTATTTTTGTATTGTATATATATTGTATTAGGTAGTGGCTTCTTTGCTTGAAATGTAAAATAAAAATTTCAATTTTAATAAATTGCTCGAAAGATGTATAATAAACATTAATATGAAGGAAAACAAATTAAAATTGTGTGTTAAAATGATAAATAATTAAATATATTTAATAATGTGTACCCTAAAATGATAAATAATTAAAAAAAACTCGTTCCAGCTTGAAAAATATAAACTTAAATGACCGAGTAAGAACGTTTAGTTAGCTGAAATGTTTAGTTGTAAACGGAGCTATATAAAACAGAGATTGTTTGAATGATTGAATAAAATGAATGAATGAATGAATGAAATGAATAAAATGAATGAATGAAATGAATGAATGAATAATTGACTGAATGAACGACTGATTGATTGATTGATTTATTTATTTTATAAATCAAAAAATAAACATAAAAAACAAATAAAGGATAGCAGTAATAATAAAAAAAATTCTAGACAAACAAAACTCAACATTTTAAAATATCAGAAATTACTCTTCTTGCCTTTTTGACGCCGGTGAAGATTCTTTCAAAAAGTGATTCATTGCTCCAGTC